CGTGAACTCAAAAGGCTTCCATAGCCTTGGCAACTCATGACAAGAGCCTAGGGAGATTCCTGATGCCATAAACAAGAGTGTCAATTGTTAAGTCAACAACAGGAGTCACTGTGCACTTACTCCTCATGTGGGATCTCTGTCCTTAATGTGTTGTACTATGTGAATTAACAGCATAACTAGTACTCAAATAGTACTTTACACTTTGTGTTTCTGTGTGGGTGCAAACTGTTGAAATCTTTACTTAATATATACTAAATTGATTTTCTGTATATAAAGATAATTGAAAATGAATCTTGATGTGAATGGAATGGGAGAGGGAGCGGGAGATGGGAGGGCTGCAGGTGGGAGGGAAATTATGGGGGGGGGGGCACTGTAATCCATAAGCTGTACTTTGGAAATTTATATTTGTTAAATAAAAGTTTAAAAAAAACTGGCAGAAATAAAGTTTTTTTGAGTGTTCAAATTATGCCAGAGTGGTTATTACTTCATCAACATTTTGCAACTGCCCTTGACTATTCTATATTATATTATTTATATATGTTTTATTATTACTGCATATTCCATTATTTGTTAACTCCAAGTTATGGGGGAAAAAGAAAATACCTGTGATGGACTGTAGGAATTCTGCCAAACAACCCAAAAAGTAACTGGTAGGTAAGTAGATGGTGCCCTGCTCTTTCAACCTGGTGGAACAAGTCTTGCTGCGCTATTTTCTGGCCAGCATTGTTTCTTACAGGAAGTCTCTGTAGTTCTTTTGTCCGTATTCCTCTGAATGTATTTTGTCACTTTCTTCTGGTTGATTTTAAGATGACCTCTTTATGATTTTTAAGCACTTTTATTTTTGTAAACTGTGGATTAGTTTATCCGTGTTTCTCTCACAGGGGGCGGAGTGGAGTCACTGAGCTTCTGGGGTTTTATTTGCTGTCTGCCGTGGCCTTTGGAGGATTCTGAGGTTGTCTCCTCCACTCCGAGTCCACACCGTCTGGCTGATTCCCGCCGTGCTGTGGCCTGGAACTCTCTCTGAGCAGGAAGCGGCGGTGATAACAAGAATCCCCCTTCCACTCTGTCAGGGATCAGCATCACAGTTACCTGATGTCCAATTTTTTTTAATTATTCATATGTTTTGTCTGCTTTTTAAAATTGTTTTAGGCAGAGACTGGCATTGAGGCATAGTGGGTAAAGCCTCCTCCTGCAGTACCCACATCCCTTACGGGCAACAGTTCGAGACTCAAGTGCTCCACTTCTGATCCAGCTCCCTGCTAATGTACCTGGTAAAGCAGCAGAGGGTGACCCAGGTGCCTGGGTCCTGTACTCACGTGGGAGACCTGAGTGAAGTTTCGGGCTCCTGGCTTCAGCCTGGCCCAGCACTGGCTGTTGGAGTCATCTGGGGAGTGAACCAGTGGATGGAATCTTTATTTTCCATTTCTGTTTCTCTCTTTCTCTCTTTCTCTCTCTCTGCCCCCTCCACACACACACACCCATGCTCACGCTCTCACTCTCTCCCTATCTGCCTCTCAAACAAAATGAAAATAAATTAGAATTAAATCAGAGAGGGGGCTGGCGCTGTGGCATAGTGGGTAAAGCCACTGCCCACAGTGCAGGCATCCCATATGGGTGCTGGTTCGAGTCCCGGCTGCTCTACTTCCAATCTAGCTTTCTGCTATGGCCTGGGAAAGCAGTAGAAGATGGCCCAAGTCCTTGGGCCCCTGCACCCATGTGGGAGACCTGGAGGAAGTTCCTGGCTCCTGGCTTTGGATCAGCGCAGCTCCAGCCATTGTGGCCAATTGAGGAGTGAACCAGCGGATGGAAGACCTCTCTCTCTCTCTCTCTCTCTCTCTCTCTCTCTGCCTCTCCTTCTTTCTCTGTGTAACTCTGACTTTCAAGCAAATAAATGTATCTTTAAAAAAATCCATTCCACTTTGAAGTTCCAACTCAAAATACAATGCAAGCCCTCTCTCATTGGACAGTAAGGGACCTGGATGGGATCAGGGGAGAGGGAGTGAGACCTGTTCTGTCGCTCTTCCTTCTCCAGCCCCTCCGGATAGAACAGGGAGCATGATTTATTTTCCTTCTTCCCTGTCTGGTGTTTTCGGGTCTAGGCGCTCTGAGGGTGTGGGCTAGGACTAGGGACGGAAGAGGGATGGCAAAGGTAGAGCTCTCTCCCCATCACTGCTGCACTTGGTGCTGGAGCTGCCATGTCCCCGCTTGTCTCTGTGCCGTGGGCTCCTGGTGTCCTCGGCTTGGAAGAGGTGTGGTTCACACGAGGAAGCTCACCTGCACTCAGAATACCGTCTGTCTGTCTCAATCTGGCAACTGCCTGTGGGTCCATTTCCTCTCTGGGAAGAGCACTGTCTCCCAGAAAGCAATGCCACGGCCACGGCCACGCCATGATTCCTACTCCCTGCTCTGATCTCCAAGCTCCTTTTCCTTCGCAGGGAACCAGGTCCTCAAAGCCACCTTTTTTTTTTTTTTTTTTTTGACAGGCAGAGTTAGACAGTGAGAGAGAAGACAGGGAGAAAGGTATTTCCTTTTCCGTTGGTTCACCCCCTAAGTGGCCACTACGGCTGGCCCATTGTGGCCAGCGTGCTGCACCGATCCGAAGCTAGGAGCCAGGTGCTTCTCCTGGTCTCCCATGCAGGTGCAGGGCCCAAGCACTTGGGCCATCCTCCACTGCACTCCCGAGCCACAGTAGAGAGCTGGACTGGAAGAGGAGCAACCGGGACTAGAACCCGGGGTGCCGGCGCCGCAGGCAGAGGATTAGCCTAGTGAGCTACGGCGCTGGCCTCGAAGCCACTCTTACATAGCAATTAGGCGATTGGGATGGGTTTGGCCACCCTTGCCTACCCAGGCTCACCACGCCAAGGCCTCTGCTCGCCTCTCAGCCCTGGATTATGTCTGCAAGCCCTTTTTCTCCAGCCGTCTCTCAAGATGACACACGGGATCCAAGCGTTTCTAAGAAACCCCTCACTGGCATGTACTCTGCTGGCGGCAAAGGGATGGAGGGAGGCTGTTCTGTTGTCTGCAGTTCATGAAGCTTCCAGCTGGGGCGTGGGGTGCAGTCTCCCCTTGGGAGGCATCCTGTTCTCTATGGTGATTTTCTTGGAACCCTACCTCATTCATTTAAATTCTGGAGGTGAGGGGATTACCGCATGAGAAACCTTGGGGAAGGAATTACCTCCCACTGAGAGAACAATTCCACCTCTCCCCCTGCTCCCCAGAAATCTCTCTGTCCTGGTTTGTTTGCTGGGTGATAACTGTGGGTATTAGGCTGGGTGGATGTTGCTGCCTCTCAGTAACCCCATTGTTGGCAGCTGTCTATAGAATGTGGTGTATTAGTGCCTCATTTTCAAACAGAGCCCCAAGGCCACAGGAAAAGTCTCATTCAGTATCTTTATCACCAATGGTTCAATGCAGCCTTCTACTGTCTCTGTCCAAAATAGAAACACGAACGTTTATTCAAGTTGCACTTTTCCTAAGGTCGTTTTCATCACAATGAAAATCTCAGTAAGCACAGACATGCACTTAACGTGGACGGAAGCCTGGGAAGAAGTCAGTAGGATGTGTGGCGATGTAAAATCATTGCACTACTCTCCCGCACGGAATGTGCATAATCATGGCAAAGCAAGACAGCTTTCTCTGAGGGCTGATAGGGTTTCCAAGAAGTGGGAATGGGGGTGGAGAAGGGAAGTGCATCAAAAGGCTGGGGGAAGGAAGAAAAGTAGAAAGAGACGAGAGAAAGAGAGAGAGAGATTGAAAACACAGTAAGACATTCTTGGCTTTCATTCTTGGCTCCCATGGACACAGCCCAGAAGGAGTAACGTGGGCCCCTCTCGGGCAGGGCTCGAAGCTGGCAGACTGGCTTTCTGAGCTCCTGAGAGCTCTGCCACTCGAGCAGGGATCCGTGCCCATGGTGCAGGGTATTAACATTCCTGACCAAACGGTGCTGGAGGGAAAGAGAGCTTTCAAGGGCATTCACCATTCTCTGCCACAGCCCTCTCCAACAGTCCCCTCCCTGTCTCCTCCCCAACACCAGACTCTCAAGTTCACTAAAGAAAATCCAGTTCATTGACTCGGAGTCAGCCTGACATAGCAAAAGAAACACGGCATTTCACCGTGAGAACCCGGGGGCCCTCGGTAAGTTGCTACTCACTCTATTCTTTTTAAGAAGTTTACATTTTAGACTCCATATCAACTACCTTAAAATGTATTTCTTGCCTTCTTTTGTCCTGGTCTTGGCCTCCCTTTTCATGTTAAATTCTTTCCTGTGTTATCACCACCAAAGCCTTACAGATAAGCAATCGGTTTATTTCCAGGCACCTACTGTGCTCTTAGCTCTGGGATAACTCTTACGACTCAAGGGGAGGAGACGAGGTGTCCCTGCCTAATAGCAACAAGGATTTGGAGGAGAAAGAAGTTGGTGCAGGCATGGACATCAGAGGATGTGCAGGGTGGAGAGGGTCAGAAACCTAAGAAAATCACTGAAGGTGAGAAGTAGAACTTATGCCCACCAAGTCCAAGAAGAGCTTATGTTCACAAGTGTCTTCCCCAGTGCTGCCGAGACCCAACATTTCAGAAGCTGTTCTATTTCAGAGTCCGCAGACCCCGCTCCTCCCACTCTGGAAGACAGCAGCTTTACACACTAGACTTCAAAGTCACAACTCTAAAAACCCCTTGAGGGCCGGCGCCGTGGCTCACTTGGTTAATTCTCCGCCTGCGGCGCCGGCATCCCATATGGGCGCCAAGTTCTAGTCCTGGTTGCTTCTCTTCTAGTCCAGCTCTCTGCTATGGCCCGGGAGTGCAGTGGAGGATGGTCCAGGTCCTTGGGCCCCTGCACCCGCATGGGAGACCAGGAGGAAGTACCTGGCTCCTGGCTTCAGATCGGTACAGCTCTGGCCGTAGTGGCCATTTGGGGGGTGAACCAACGGAAGGAAGACCTTTCTCTCTGTCTCTCTCTCTCTCTCACTAACTCTGTAAAAAAAAAAAAAAAAAAGGCTGTGCTCTAAGCCCCCAGATCCTCTCCCAACCTCAGTGGAGGGAGCCTTTAAGGAATAGCAGAGGGACTTCTCTCACTGGGTGAATAATGCCTTATGCTTGTAGGGTGAGTCTGTATTTTTCCCAGAGAGGTGTTCCTAGATTTTTAACTTGGTCGTTACAGACATCTGATTGGGCACTGTGTAGGGAGAGTCTCGTTCATCTTCACTGGCAAGGAGGCTGAGGCTCAGTGGAGCGACTTTGCCCTCCCTCTTCTATGTCACTCTGGAAGCTCATTTGCCTAGAGGGTAGAATTTCCCAATAGCGTAACTCCCTGTGACTCAGCAGTTATGAAATACCCAGCTTCCCAGCATAGATCTTTGTCTAAAAGCCAGGGGGCCAGTGTCCTGCTCTTGTTTTATCAGATCAGTGGTGGTGCCTGGAGGAATCTCGCTTTATGGTCTCTAGACCATGAAGAGGGTGGAGAGGCACGTGGTCAAAGGAGCGCAGGACAAACACTTTGATTTGGAGAGGAAGAGCGCCAAGCAGGCTGAAGCCAGACTCAGCCAGAGACTGCGGAGCCTGGAGGAGATCTGCCTCTACCACATGAAATCGCTGACCCGGGAGCAGAGACAGCTCCAGAAAGAACTTCAGAGGTTGCAGCAAGGTAAGGCTTCCGGGACAGGGCAGCAGCCACAGGCTCGCGAGGCAGAGCGAGGCGGCAAGCCCATTGCTCATTCCACATCAGGGGCCCGACCAGAGCCCTGGGTACAAGGAAGCCAGCCCTGCTGGTCTCGGTCGGGGTGCTGGCCTCTCCGACCTCCCCTGTCCCTGCCCCCCTGAACTGAGCAGTTCCGTGGAGCGTCCCACTCCCATGCCCTCTAGAGCTGCCACTTCTCAGACTTCCTGTCACTGCTGTCTTGCAAATTACCTCTCTCTTTCTTACCTCATTTGTTTTCCATTTCCTTTTTGTATCTTCTCATAATCTACATTCCTTCCACTGTATCTGGGCTGATCTGACTGCACCCCTTTCTGACATCTGCGCTTTCTCTCCTTTGACTCTAACAACCGGTTATTGAGCAGCTCCAAATGGGCGAATCGGTGCCCCAGCCCACTTGATGAAAAGAAAGTTCAAGAAAATAGAAAAAAAAAGTCTCTGGGGTTGGTGTCTCAGTTTCCCCAAATGTAAAATAGAAATGCTACTTCCTTTCTGTTGAAGTTATTTGAGGACTGAGTTTCAAACAGCACTAGACACAAAGCAAGTACTCTACAAGTGTTTAATCTTACCAATCAATAAAAATGCATCACAGAATTCAACCTCTTCCACTGTTTTGTTGAAAATTATAGCAGTTGCACAGGTTTTTAGGAACAGTTTTCCTCTGTCATTACAAAAATTAGATGTTAATATTACTTCAAGGTTCAGCATAGCACAGATGTAGTTCAGGCTTTCCAAGCTATATCCCTTCTTTCTTAAAGCAGGCCCCAAAAGTGAGGAGGCATACTCCGTCGAAAAGCAGGTGTCAGCCGGCGCTGCGGCTCACTAGGCTAATCCTCCGCCTTGTGGCGCCGGCACACCGGGTTCTAGTCCCGGTCAGGGCGCCAGATTCTGTCCCAGTTGCCCCTCTTCCAGGCCAGCTCTCTGCTGTGGCCAGGGAGTGCAGTGGAGGATGGCCCAAGTACTTGGGCCCTGAACCCCATGGGAGACCAGGAGAAGCACCTGGCTCCTGCCATCGGATCAGCGCAGTACGCCGGCCACAGTGCACCGGCCGCGGCAGCCATTGGAGGGTGAACCAACAGCAAAGGAAGACCTTTCTCTCTGTCTCTCTCTCTCACTGTCCACTCTTCCTGTCAAAAAAATAAATAAAAAAAAAAAGAAAGAAAAGTATGTGTCATGATTGAATGTCAGGTCTTTCAGGTCCACACAGCTGCTGATACATGGACACAAAAGTCAGGAGTCATGTCCAATCACCTGGCCTGGAAATTCTTCCTAACCTTCAAACATTTCTAATTGTATCTAATGATTTCTAGCCACCTTGGTCTTTAAAGTTGACTCAACAAGTAACTGAATTCCACTTGCAATGTCCTGTGTGTAATAAAAGGTTAACCAACCTAGAATGAGAGTTCACCTACGAGAAAAGAATCTTAGAGGCCATCTGATTGGGTCCCATTTTAATTTTCAGAAAGGACACTGAAGACCAGATGCTGATTCTCAGGAGGCTGCATAAAAGCTCAGGCCCTCGTAGGCTGGGAGTCTGCTAAGTCTGCCTAAGTGATTTGGAAACAGCCTCGCCCAGGAGATGAGACCAAAACTGTTGGTTCAGAGGCCTCTGTCTCCATGTTCCTTGGAAAGTCATATCTGCTCTAACCCTCCAACTTCTTGACAGTCAAAGTAGGGGGAAGGGTAGGAAACAGTATTATGGAGTTGTAATGTTATATTTTTAAAGATTTTTTTTTATTTGAAAGGCAGACTTAGAGAGGCAGAAGCAGAGAGAAAGAGAGGTCTTGCATCCGATGGTTCCATCCCCAAATGGCCACAACAGTTGGAGCTGAGCTGATCTGAAGCCAGGAGCCAGGAGCTTCCTCAGGGTCTCCCACATGGGTGCATGGGCCCAAGGACTTGGGCCATCTTCTACTGCCATCCCAGGCTATAGCAGAGAGTTGGATCAGAAGAGGAACAGCCGGGACTAGAACCAGCGCCCATATGGGATGCCGGTGCTTCAGGCCAGGGCTTTAATCCACTGTGCCACAGTATCGGCCTGGAGTTGTAATATTACTGAGCACTACATTAAGCAATAATTTCCAATAACTCATTTAAGAAAATCATTTCTGAAAATCAGTTGTATGACAATAAGTGTATTATTTAAGATGCACATTATCCACCATCATCTTAGGTATTCAGATCAGAAAGTTAGAAATTGGGCTCCAAAATCCACATTTTCTACTGAGATGACACTGAGAGTTCAACTGAGATTATGCTGGGATAGGTGTTCTGCAGACCAGACTTTAGAAATCACTGCTACAACTACTCAGAGTCTGAAATGCAAGTGTGAAAAGAAAAAATCTAGGGTCTCTGCCCTCCAGAGGCTCATATTAAAATTGAAGGGTTACTCTGCTTACAAAACATCATGATAGAAGATGCTAGTTGCTGAATCAGAGTAATTTACAAGGTCAGGCACAGGCACTGGAAGGTTCCTCTGGTCTATCAGGGGCCATGGGTAAAATCTTGTGAGTGTGGGAGCAGAATCTAGGGGGAACGGGAGAACCGAGCCGCGCCTGACAGAAGGAGCAGTGTGCTACAAAGACCCACAGATAAGTAAGGCTTTCCACAAACAGCTCAGAACTGAGGACCTGTAGTTAAGTGGGGGTGGGCTGGAGAAGGTGTCAGCAAAGCAGGGAGAGTGACATCTTCACAGGTCTTGCAAAAAAGTAGCTCACATTTCTCCCCATAGGGTTTGGGAGCGGGGAGAATACACGTTCAAGCTTTAGAAAGATCGCTCTGGAGGCAAGGGTTAAGGTAAAATAGTGCCCCAGCTAAGCCAGAGCACACCTGATAGAATTCCAGGGCCCAGGTCATGGAGAAGCAGGCTTTCAGCTGGAGAAAGTGAGAAGAATCAGCATTTTGAGATACCTAGAAAGTACAATTGTCAGGACTTTATGGCTAATTGTATGTCCAAGGGAAAACAAAAGTCAAGTTCCAGGAGTCTTCAAAAAAGTTTATGGAAAATGCATATGATGAAATATTTATGCATGGTTTTTAAAAAGTGATTTTGCACAAAGATGAGCTTATCTTTTAAGTTCATTGTTCCATGAGCCTTCTAAAGCACCCCTTGTAGACGGTCTGGCATAAAGGAGGCACTCAAACACACTTGATAAGTTGTTTAGTTGGGTGGATATAGGTACCAGGTCTTCCCAGAGGGGACACCAGGTAAAGATCAAGTGTCAGAGAAGAGACACACTCATTTCTGAACGTGTTGGTCCTCCAGGTCAAGAGTGAAAGAGTGGGAGAAACACTCAGACTCCCTTAGTGAGCAGAGAATGGGTTCTCACAAGGAAAAGACCCACACCTTCCTCCAAGCAGACAGCGAAAGAAGGGTCCACCATGGGCTACCTGTTGTCCTGACTACTTCCCAAGGAAACAATCCGACTTCAGTGTTAGGAGTTTGCTGTGAATTCTAGGCCCTTTATCTGGTCACGTCCTGTGTGCCGGGTGCCTGCTGACCGCACTGCAGATTTAAGGAACTCAATCCCATTAAAGCAAAGTAGTGCAGGAATTTCAACCTCCAACAACTCACTCATGAGCTGCCCTGAAAACAAACGGGGTCCTCCATAGCAGCTATGACCACCCGATGACGAAACATCAACTCAACGAGGGAGGAGGGCACTCAGTCACGGCGGCCAGTGCAACTTCAAGGCCCAGGTCACATAGCTGTGGTGAGTGACACATCTCACTCCCAGAGTATTCTGTCTCTGAAGATCCCGTGCTTGCCAAGGTAAACATTCAAACAATGCTTCCACGGGCATAACCAATTTAAATGACTTCGGTGCTTCTAAATCCTCTTTAACATGTTCTGGGTACACATCTGGGAGCTCTTTAGGTTCCTCTGCGCCCATCATTCATGCATTGATTCTCTGAAAGCCCAGTTTCCTGCATTCTTTGCCTCCTCCTGTACTTTTTCAAGGACTCCATAACAGAGGTCTACCAACTGGCTGCCTTAAGCAACAGAACTTCACTGTGTTTGCAGTTCTGGAGTGTAGAGGTTCAAGATCAACGTGTGGGCAAGGTTGGTTCCTGCAGAGGGCTGTGTGGGAATATCTGCTGAGGTCTCGCTTCCACACTTGTAGACAGTGCCTTCTCCCTGGGTCTTTCCCAGGTTCCTCTCCTTGTGTGTGTGTCTGTATGTGTGTCTATGTTCAAATTCTCTTTTCTTATAAGGACACCAGTCATATTGGATTAGGACCACCCTAGTGACCCCGTTTTAACCCTTGACCTCTGTAAAGACCCTATGTGCACATAAAGCCACAATGGGAGGTATTGCAGGTTAGGGCTTCAACATACGGAATTGGGGGAGGACACAGTTCAGCCCTTAACACTTATTAATTAATCAAAAGCAGAGATCATCAAGAAAAAGCTCTCCTCCTATTTTGGGAATGGAATTCAGAAGAGACCAGAAAACATCCTCAAGTTCCCACAGGGAAAGCAGAAGCTCAGAGTCCCACAGACTGATCATGTTGGGTAAGACAACGGGTCTGACAGTGAATCCTTCTCCCCAAGCGACCTCTTTAGCCCCGTTCCCTCCCTGGAACAAGCAGAGGCTTCGCCCACAGCATTGCTACCTGCTTTCACCCTGCACCCCCATCCTCACCCACCTTGTTACCTTAGCTCCTAGCGTACTGAACAGGCCCCAGCTGAACTTGAAAGGTCTTAGGTATGAAGCTCTTCATCAGCTGACATGTCTCTTCTTTCACCTCCTCCCTCAGACCATTGGCAACCAACACAGCCCCAGAAACATACAGCAGCAAGCCCCAGAGGCCTCCTTCTCATCCCACTGGTCTCAAGGACTCCATGAGGAACAAGGAGCACCAATGTCAGAACCACAGAACTGCCTGCCTCGCGGAGGAGATGCCACAAGCCCAAGGGGAGGACTCCATAAAGGCACCCAAGGGTAGAGACCCCAACAAAGGCATCTCTGCTCTATGTCACCATCAAGCTGTTTCCACCAGCTCCTCGGAAAAAGACCCAGGTTCCAGCCCTGCTGGGGATAGCGGAGCGGCACCTGTTGACGAGAACAGATCCCAGGATGCCAATCTAAAGCCAGGCATGAATGCTGGGATCCAGATTCCCCCACATTTCACAGAAGATGCAAGAGAGTCCACAAAGCAGACCTTCTTAGAGTTGCTCGCAAAGGTCAAAAATGCCCACTATCTCCGGCATAGGGTGCCCCCTGAGTCTGAGAGGTTGCTTAGTATTGCAGAGATATTTGGACATGGGGAGTCCTCACTGCGCAGGGTAAGAGAAGAGTCTGAAAAGCAGGCGCCATCTAATCCCTTCTCCAGCTATTTAATACAGGCTGACAATGACACACAGAGGCATCACCATGCAAATGTGCTCTTTAAATAATGGCAGTAAGCAATACAGAGAAGCAAAGGGACAGGCAGAAATGGAGGACAATTTTATCTTAAACCCTCAGTTCCTTATTTTTTTTGCTTTTACAGGAAGATGATGTTTCCCGAAATAAATAAACCTAGCATATGAAAAATGAGAGGAAGGATGAATTTTCTGAAAATATTTTAACTGAAGCACATGTATTGCTAACGTCATAAAATATATGAATATACATTGATGACTGTGCTTTTCTTGAAGGAAAAATAGAATCCTTTCATGACCTGTTTTTCTTAGGCGAATCTTACAGCGCCACCTGCTGGCCAAATGGCATAGTTGGTCCCTATGATTTAGGTTAGTATGGCGGTAAGAATGAGAACTCAATTGAAAACATGTGGTATAACATGGTCTGTAAGCAAAACCGGTTTCCTGTAACAGCTGTATGCTATTTTTTAAACTCCTCCCCCACTTCTTCCTTCCCAGGTAGCTCTGTTTTAGTTTTCTCACTCTCACTTTCAACCTGCTCATGCAAACTTGTGGATCTGATTTTTTCCTTTTTTTTTTTTTTAAAGATTAACAACGCTTCCTTTCATATCTTCTAGAGTCAAAGAATTTCAAAAATTCCCGATCATCTCCCACAATGTGATAAAGTCCATATCAGAAGGGCGGGTATTGTGGTGCAGCAGGTTAACACAGCCATTTGAGACACCCACATCCCACATCAGGGTGCCTGAGTTCAAGTCCTGCCTTCACTTTCCATCCAGTTTTCTGCTAATGCACTCCAGAAGGTAGCAGATGCTTGTGCCCCTGTCAGCCATGTGGGAGACTGGAATAGAGATCCTGGCTCCTGGCACTGGTCTGCCCCAGCCCTGGTTGTTTGGTTATTGTGGGCATTCAGTGATTGAATGAATGAATCAGTGGATAGAAGATCTTCTTCTCTTCTCTCTCTCTTTCTCTTTCTCCTCTCTCTGGCTTTCAAATAAACATATGTATTTAGATTTATTTATTTATTTAGATGTCAGAGTAGCAGAGAGAGAGAGAGAGAGAGAGAGAAAGACAAGTCTTCCATCTGCTGGTTCACTCCCTAGGTGGCCACAGCAGCCAAGGTTGTGCCAGGTTGAAGCCAGGAGCCAAGAGCTTCATTTGTCTTTCACATGGGTGCAGAGGCCCAAGTGCTTGATCCATCATCCATTGCTTTTCACAGACCATTAACAGGGAGCTGGACCTGAAGTGGAGCAGCTGGGACTCCAACCAGCACCATAATACAGGTCCATATTTGTCTCATTATTTTTATTTATTTATTTATTTATTTGAAAGGCAGAGTTACAGAGAGACAGAAGCAGAGAAAGAGGGAGAGAGAGAGAGGGAGAGAGAATCAATCTTCCATCCACTGACTCAGTCCCGAAATGGCCACAACAGCCTGCTTTCCCAGACCATAGCAAAGAGCTGGATGAGAAGTGGAACAGACAGGACTCGAACCAGCACCCTTAAGGGATGCCGGCACTGCAGGCAGCGGCTTTCCTTGCTACCCCATAGGATTGGCCCCATCAATTGTCCCACTTTAAAGAGGATTTTTTCACTGCACTAGCCATCAGAGGAGGGAGGGCCATCAACCTAGCAGCAGGTGCAGCTTGGTCCTGCAAATCCACACTGTTGAGGAGAGCAGGGCATCAGTATCCTTTTCCCACAAAGAAACACCGGGGACAGGCTTCGGTGAACATGTCAGTTTATTCACAGCCACACAGGCTTTTTAAAGAGCAGGGAGAAGGGGCGTAACTAACTCAGGGGAACACTGACTATAGGACAGAATGGATACTGGCGCCAATATGCCTCTCCAATCAGCTTGAAGGTCACGTAGCTTTCCAGGTGGGCCTGATGGGTCTGGGCCACACCAGGGAGCAGTTTACCGTACTGGCAGAAGGCAGGGGTGGGGAGAAATGTGCTCTGTTGGGATCACGCGCAGGCAGGGGCCACCTCCGCTGTACCTGGCCACACCCCTCTGTTCCAAGTACCCCTCCCTTCGCAGTCACAGGAAGCAAAGTTTCTGCACACTCCTCCTTGCTGTCTTTATCTATCTGATGAACCCAGGTCCATCTGTGCCTCACTGTGGAATATTTCAGTACATTCTGTTGCAAATAACATCTCAGGCATTGCTACCTAACTGTGTATTTGCAAACCTTCCAACCACATAGCTTTTATATTCTTTTATGTAGTCTAAGGCATTTTCCTTCTTCTTTATAATGGATGCAGTATTCTGACGAGTACCACTCAGCACAAAGGGAATGCTGCTACATGGGCCCTGGCGTGCCTAGCTCATTACATTCTGAAGAGCACAGTGGCAAGGAGGATAATGGACAGCAAAGCACAGGCAGATAGGAGAAAGTTCTAGCACAAGACTGTGACAATTTACAGTATTTCATGAAGGACTAGGAAAGAGGTTTCCATAGCCTCCAAAAGCAAGGAAATGATAAAAGTTTAAGGTGATAGAAATACTAATTATGCTGGTTTCATCATTATATATTGTATTCATGTATGAAGTTATAATGCTATACTTCATAAATAAGAACAATTATGTGTCACTTCAAAACACATTTTAGGGGCCTGCCTTGTGGTACTGTGGGTTAATCCACCACCTGTGACACTGGCATCCCATATGAGCACCAGTTCAAGTCTCAACTGCTCCCCTACTGATCCAGGTCCCTGCTAATGCATCTGGGAAAACAGAAAATGGCCCAGGTGCTTGGGCCCCTGCCGCCACATAGGAGACCTGAATGTAGTTCCAGGTTCCTGACTTCACGCTGGTCCACCCCAGTATTGCGATCACTTGGGGGTAAACAGTTGGAAGATTTGTCTCTCTCTTCCCCTGCCTACCTCTGCCTTTTAAATAAATAAAATACACCTTGAACACACATACACTTTATGAAATTAATTTATTGGTTTGAAAGGCAGAGTTTTAGAGAGAGAAAGACAAAGAGCAAGATCGCCCACCTACTAGTTCACTACCTCAATGGCCACAATGGCCAGGGCTAGGTCAGGCCAAAGCCAGGAGCCAGGAGCTTCATCTGGACTTTCCACTTAAGTGCAGGGGCCCAAATACTTGGGCCATCTTCTGCTGCTTTCCCAGGCACATGAGCAGGGAGCAGGATTGGAAGTGCAGCAGCAAGACCTCAAACTGGTGTATAGGACACACATATGGGATGCCAGCATCGCAGGCAGAAGCTTTACCCACTATGCCACAGCACCAGCTGCAACACACACAGATATTCTTTTTTTAAAAAAAATATTTATTTATTTATTTGAAAGTCAGAGTTACACAGAGAGAAAAGGAGAAGCAGAGAGAGGTTCATTCTCCATTTTGCTGCAACAGCTGGAGCTGTGCTGATCTGAAGCCAGGAGCCAGGAGCTTCTTCTGGGTCTTCCACGTGGGTGCAGGGGCCCAAGGATTTGGGACATCTTCTACAGCTTTCCCAGGCCAAAGCAAAGAGCTGGATAGGAAGTGGAGCAGCCAGGACTAGAACTGGCTCCCAAAAGGGATGCCAGCACTGTAGGCAGCAGCTCTACTCATTACACCACAGCACCGCCCCAACACAGACATTCTATAAATGTCTAGAGAACACTTGAAACTCATTGCTCACATTCGGCTCTAGGTTGAAAGTCACTCATTTATACCAGGGAGTCTCAGCTGGGGGCAAAGATGCCCCCTCACCCCAAATGGCATCTGGAATGTCCAGAGACATTTTTGGCTGTCACAACCAAGATGAGGAGTTGCCACTAGAGTCTAGTGGGCAGAGACCATAAAGTCTACAGTATATGGAGCAGCCCTCCGAATAAAGAACTAAGAAGAGAAATGTCAATAGTGTGGAGGCTGGAAACGCCAACCTATAGCACTCCATTAGCTTGGCACAAAACCCCAGAGGTGGGAAATCAAAGAGATGATTGCCCCCCATTTTACAGAAGAGAAAATTGAGGCTCGTGATAAGTAAAATGGATCTCTCCACTTCGGAGTGCAAACGAGGACAGAGACGAGGATGCTGCTGTCCTGTACTGCTGTCCTCCTTTTCAAGGGGAGGATGGGTGTGAATGATGCAACAATGCAATGCTTTATGCCATCGTTTTCAGTGATGACACGCTTTCCAATCCTGGAACTAAAGATCTTCAGTGATAAGAAGGAAACATTCCTAGTTCTATTCTGGGAGAACAGCACCTGTTTTATTACAACCATCACTCATCCATGTGGAGGAGGGGGCTTCCAACTTGTGGGCCTATTCTGCAAGGAGGGAACTTTTCGTGGCAGGTGATTCCACCCCTCGCCCTGGGCTCCACGTTCTGGAGGTCACTGGAGAGCACCTGAAGGTCCACACAACTCTCAGTCCAAGGGATAAGGTGGGTGATGTGTCGCCAGGAACACTGGAAGAAGCGGCTTCTCAGAGAGTGAGCATTTTGCCCTCCCACCCAGAGCACCAGGGCAGCAGAAGCCTTGGCCAAGTCCAAAGAGATGCCAGCATCACCGGCAACAGCAGAATTGCAAGGAACTGCTGCAATAAGAGGGGAGCCAGAGATGCGTGCCTGGGTGCCTGAGCCACCTCATCCTCCCACCTCCGTCCACACCCACTCTGCGAGCATTTGAACATTGTGACAGAAGAAAAGAGAAAGGGGAGCCAGGCCCCCTTCTGCTTACAAGAACTTCACTGAGTGGGAAAGGAAGAATTGACACTGGACAAAGACTACAAGTAGTAATAATACCTAAATGCAGTTAAATGAAGATCTAGCAGACATGAAATTCTTTAAACAGTAGTGCCTGGAAGTTATTACATCAGATAATATTAAGCAAAGTTAGTAGCATTTATTGGAGAAGAAAAACTAACCTGTTCATGTTTGTACCTTACCGAGTTGAGATGGTGCACTGTAAGCTATTTAGAGAGGCATTGTGCTAAGTCACATTCACCCTAGGGTAGTCCCCATTCCAAATGTGGCTTACATTGTGGCCCATTTGAAAGTCATAGGAAAAAATATTGTACCCAATTAGGTGAAATACGAACTATACCCTAACTTTCCCATCTTTCCACCATTATTGTGATTGTGTTGCTGTTGTATGTCTAAACAGTAGACATCAATCATTTATATATTGTAAATGAAATTCAGTATAATTTGTTCAGTTAATTCTAACTGCTCCAGCTCAATCCTATTAAAGTTGTTCCATGAAACTGGGCAATGAAGAAACCCTCCTAGTAAAAGAAAAGC